CAGGGAAGGCCTTGTTTTCAGCAGAAACAGAAGAACAACCATGAAGAAGCAGACCAACATTGACTAAATACTTTGGACAGTTTAAGTCTTTTATGCAACGAGAATTAGTCTAAACAACACTTGCAAAACAGCAAACAGATCAGTTCCATAGTGTAGCAGTAAGCATGCCTGCCTCCAGAGCATAGAGTCCCGGGTTTGATTCCCAGAGGAACCACATGCTTGGCGCCTGCTGGGGGCAGCCTATTAACAACATATCTGCTGTTTACACAAGAATTTCCTAAATATGGGATCAATATAGTTTAAATAGTTGTGACCCAACAAAATATCTCTGAATATGTTTAAATCTCTAGAAAGTTAGTTAGTGCAGAAACTGAAACTCTTTCTTATTTTTTTACCCTGCAGAGAAACACTGCACCAGGTCTGGACTTTGGCCATGTCTGAGGATAAATTAATATAGATTATACTACATTTTCTAAACACCATTTCTGTTAACTCTGTGTGTTGTCTTTACATTTCTAACTAAAGTTGACTCTTTCCATATCCTGTTCCTGTTTGTCTACCTCGTGTCGATGCTCATGGGAGTGAAGTCTAGCTTGTGTTTGGTCTGGAAAATTAGCGCCTTGGTCCGGATCTCCACGATTGACGGTGGCTGCAGCGGCATAGCGATGGAGAAGAGGGCGAGCTGAGGGGGTGCCAGCGTCCCATCTTCCGCCATCTGGCTCTGACCGTGGAGGAACTTCAGACGGCCGTGGAAGTTCAGTGCCTAAAATACCAAAATAAAAACCTATGTTTACTCACCTTCAGGTGAAGCAACCATTTCCTGACTGTGAAAACAAGGTTAGGACATTTGAAGGAGCTCCTGCAGTGAAGACCCTGGAGCTTAGTTACCAGGAAGCCAGAAGAGTTGTCCAGCAGGCAGCGAAACCGACAGCAGAAGTTTCTCTCCAGGAAGGAGGAGTTTTCTGGAGGGACAGCCTGAGGGTCAAACACCATCAGACCACTGCTGATGTCTGCAGACCTTTGGTCACCTGTGAATCAAGATGACAATGTTGGACTGGTTCTCGTTCTTCTTTCTGTCAGCCAATGGGGTGGAGGTGGTCTGGACTTACTGTGACTGTCCTCCGCACCGTCAGCTTTGCCAGAATTAGGCTTGAAGGCGAAGTGAAGCTGCTGCCTGAACAGAGGTCTGTCGTCTGTGTGAATCAGCTCAAACACACTCTGATGGACCACGTCAGACTGAAAACAATACACAAACATTGTTCAAATGCTTATCTCCAAAATATTTTCTTATTGGAACATGTGTGTAAAACTATTGCATATGGATTGGATAATGTAAACAAACTCAGAAAACACAACTAATAGTAGTCCTGGGGGAGCTGGGGATATAGACAACGGCTGCTGGTTCAAAGCCTTTTTGTGGCCACAAAGTGAACAAAAATAGCTGATACCTAAAAGACACAAACTAGTTAGATTTTTAAAAAAGATTTTTAAAGTTCTTGGTGGAGAAACGCTAGTAGAAAGCAGAATACACTGTAACAATGGCTACAAATCTGCTATGAATTACACATGACAGGTAAATACATAAGTGAATACATTGAGAAGCATCAACAGATAAAAGTTTGCCAAAAATACATTTAAGATATTTCATTGTGTGTTCATGTGTTTGGAACAATTTCTTTCAATTTAATTTAATTATTTTCATTTATTCTAATGAAAACATTGATTGTAATAATCCAAGTCTTGGTTGGTGTTAAAAAAAAAATCTAAAAAAATCTCCTTGTGTTTGTGTTTGTTTGTTCTTGTCACCAACCTTTTAGCCCTCAAACACACATGCAGGTTTTTGTATTTTGCAAGCCCTATATGCATAATTTAATCCTCCCCCTAACTCTAATCTGGCCTCTTAATCTACCTCCTTCCTACATTTTTAACTGCCCTCACTCAGTAGGGACCTGCTGATTCATACTGTTCTTATTCCAGGTTCAAATGTCTGACTTAACCATTAAAGAAGGTCAAGGAGTGTCCTGGGTTCCACCACAACCACAGAGGGTCTGAGGGGACGTGAAAAAGAACAGAATGTTCAGTATGACAGATGTGAGACTCTATGAAGGGAACTGAAACTGACGTCTGTCCCTGTGTACGGTTCTGTATCTTTAAACCTTGTTTATGAGGAAGTTGAGTAGTTTGGTGAAGTTGTTTTGCACCTGACAGAGTTACCTTCAAATCTTCAAATCACATAGTAGTTTCCTTTTAGTTCCTTTCCCCTTATATACAGTTCGAGGTGCATTAAAGCACCTGCATGTTTCATAAAGGGGACTGTGTTCTTTGGGTTTAATGTCTCTCCCTTCCTTCTTTTTAGACAGGTTATGTTTCTTTGTCCTAAGAGGTTTTACAATCTATCTTGATCAGGTAAAAAAACAGTCTGTTCCAGGAATAAACAAAAGAAAATGTTGTCATATATTTTGGAATGTTATTTATTTCAATTAATAATGATTAACTATGACTATGATTTTTTTTTTTTCCGAATCCAACTTGATCGGGTCGAATATCAGATGTTCATGTTTTTACATTAGCAGGAATATAACCTAAGATGGCAGATGGGAGACAAGGATTTCTACCTGATGGAAGCCCAGGTAGTCCTGGATGGTGGGGGATGTGTAGAAGATGTAACCCTCAGCTGACACAACCAACACGAAGCCATTCAGCGCCTGTGAAAAACAAATACAAAAACTTGATTCTTTTTCAATTCCCTTTGTTTTTTCTTCTTTTCTTTTGCATCTGGTTCATTCACATGGTACATTTTCAATGTGGTGGCAGCAGCGGCAGCAGCCACAGCCGCAGCCGGCGGGAGCACGACACGCAAGGGGGGTG